ACCCATCCCTCACCCATCTCTTATCTATCCATCCATCCCTCACCCATCTCTTATCTATCCATCCATCCCTCATCCATCTCTCATCTATCCACCCATCCCTCACCCATCTCTTATCTATCCATCCATTCCTCACCCATCTCTCATCTATCCACCCATCCCTCACCCATCTCTCATCTATCCACCCATCCCTCACCCATCCCTTATCTATCCATCCATCCCTCATCCATCCCTCCACTCGCATGTCTGGGTGTCTCCTGCCTCTCCCGCTGTGCCCTCACCTCTGTCAGACTTCCTACTTCTACTGTGATGGGCCACAGTTAAAAAAGTCAAAATCAGAGCACCTGCTCTGGGGTCATAGCCAGGTACCACTAACACCATTAATACTGAATATCTAAATATAGCCCTTTCTCAAGAGCAGTGTTAGCTCAATCTTCCCTCCATTTAGGGACCTAGAAGGGACTTCAGCCATGCCCTTCCCCACATGCTTACTATACATTTGTGTCACACTCCCAACCACACACACACCCCGAACCACACATAAACCACACACAAACCACACATGTACACCCTCTACACACAAACTGCCCATGCCACACACACACTCGGCCCACCCACATGCCAATTAAGAAGGACAATGTTCAATTTTAAACAGCAAAATTCCTTTCCTTTGCAGACAGTTAGGCTAACTGAAGCTTTGCTATTTCCACACACCTGCCTTAAGGCTGAAGAAAGGAAATTCAGGAAATCATTACTTCCTGGGCGTCCCACAGCCATTGAATAATACAGTTATCCAGGCATGTCTTATTCCACCAGGTAGCTATGGAAACACAAACCTTTATAGTGACATCTTTGAAATTATTTAATTAACCAAGCTCACAAACTAGCGAGCATTTATTTAATACAGGTGCTAGTCTCCCTTCCTTTTATTAGTGAAGAGAAAGAGGTCATAGAGTTTAATGGCTTTACTATAATCAACCTGCACAAGGATGCAGCCATTTATTTCTAATCTGTTCTTCTTGCATTTAAAACTGGAAATAGAACTTCTTTTCCAAGGACTGTGTGGTGAGAACTGACAATGCACACCTTGCCAGAGACACAGCTGTCCCTGGTAATGAGTCAGCTGCTACTCTGACTACCATTTCCATTTTCCTGGACCCCTCACTCTCTCCCCAGTGCTGAGTCTACCTGGAGGCTGCACATGCACATGGCGGACACCCACTGAAGGGGCCATGGGCTGAGAACTGCAGGAGACTGGGCTCCTCAGGGGTTCATCAGCATCGCATCTCAGATGATGGCCACAGACCTTAATTTTTCTGCTCCAGCTTTGTGCCTGGAGATCCGTGCCATGGACAGGGGCACTGACAGGGCGTCCAGCCAGCGCTTCTCATACTTTGGTTCCTTAGCGATGGGTGAGGAAGGCGGTGACAGGGCCTGTGCGGAAACAGACAAAAACCAGTCACTGGCGCCCCAAACACGCGGGGGCTCTGCAGGTGCCAAGCCAGAGCCCAAACTGCTCTTAACTCATGGGCAAAGCTCACAGAAGAGACACATGATCCTCTGCTTGGATTCAGGTACTTTTCTCAAAGAACACAGTGCACCAGAGTGAAAGGCTAATGAAGAGGGGAGGGGAGGAGACCCTCCCAGGCTGGAGGGGAGCTGCAGACATGAGGGGTTCCAGGCCACACATGGCGGGGGTATGTGCAGGGGGACACCGGGCCAACGGGCCAAGCTGAAGTGCTGGTGTAGAGCCAGTATGGGGCCGAGACAGCCAGTAACACTGCTGATGACCTTCTCACGGCATCCCTTGCTTATCAGGCAACGATGCCCTGTCTATTCACTGGGCAGGGCCACTCCCCCCATCTGCTGCCCACCTTATGGGCAGGAGACCCTGAGGCACATCCCAACAGCACTGTGCACTGCGGGGGCAGGAATGTGTCCAAAGGTCTCCAGTCTGCAGACAAGACAATTCCGTCCTCCCTCTCTGCCCTCTCTGCCCTTAGCACTTCCCTGCCACCTGTTTACCTGTTTTACCCCCAGCCTGAACTAACAGGAGGAGCAAAGGTGCTCTGTGCTCAGAGGACAGACAGGTGGTTTTAGAGCAGGTGTGTCCCCTCGGAGCTGCCGCATCTCCCTGCTGGAATCACCCAGCGGGCCCTGGAGTGAAGCTACCTAACTCCCCCCAGACCTTCACCAGGCAGGGACTTCCCCTTTGCCCCTGGGAGGCTCACTCTTGGGTGCAGCTACCCTGAAATGAGGTGGCCCAGTGAACCTTGGAGCCCACAGCCCTGGCTGATCCTTCCGCATAGCAGGTATGTAAGTGCCCGGTCTCCCAGGGCACACCTGACCCTGTGGTGAACAAAATTATCCCACCCCATCTCCCCAGGGGGAAAGTTCTGGAACAAAATAGAGCTCTGTATGAAGGAACAGATGACCAGAACAGGTGCAAATCACAAGCCCTGGCCAAGTGCCTGCAAGTGTTCTAATGAAGACTGCAAATTGGATTTGTCACCTGGCGTTACATCAGATTCACATGCCAGACGTGGCTACCCAGACTTTATGTGCTACATTTTCAATCAGCCATGGTGTTTTGATAAGTACCATTTAGAATATAGGAATGAATATAGAAAATGGTTTTTTTTGGTAAGAATAGGGATGTGCTGGAGTGTGATGAATGCTGGAAACGCTCTATTGTGAAGAGTGAAGTCATCCTGGATCTGTGCATCGGCTCAGATATTTCAGAGTCACCTCCCACCCTCAGAATCTAGCAAGGGCTATAAACTGTACTGGCTGCGACAATTCTTTAGGCTGAATTCTAAGAAGTTGAATACCCAACTAGAATAGGCTGAATAATAATCACCCACGGATGAAAAGGCATCAGGTCCTAATCCCCGGACCCTGAATCATTAGGTTTGGAGAAAAACTTCTGCAGACATGGCTGAGTTAAGGGTATGGAGGTAAGGCCCTCAAGCTGGATTATCTGAACACGTCCCACTGCTGTCACTGGTTCTTACAAGAGGGTGGCAGAGGGGCTGGCAGAGGAGAGGGGACAGTGTGTGAGGGAGAGGCAGAGCCTGAAGCAATGGTTCAGCCACAGCCCAGAAACGTCTGGAGCCTCAGGAGCAGAGAGGCAGGAGGGACCCGCCCTGGAGCCTCTGGAAGGGCAGGGTCCTGCCCACACCGTAATTTTGGACTTCTGGCCTCAACAGTTAGGAGAGAACACACTTCTGTCCTCCTAAGCCAACAGGTGGTGTGGATTTGTCTCAACCTCCAAAGGAAACACGAATGTCAGCCATGAACTCTGGACTGCAGAGTCAGCTGCCCTGGAATCTGCTGCTGGTTGGCAGAAGCTTTTTGTATGTGGCAGCACCTTGGGCAAGGGGTCCTGGGGCCTCTCACACCAGCTGGTTTATAGATTCGATGCTCACAGATGCCCAGTGTATTAGGATGGTATCTGAGACTTCCTGTATCATAAGCTGGTCCTAAGACTGTGACATAATCACTAACTCACTCACTTCTGCAGTCAGCATCACCCAGCAAAACACTGCACACCCAGAATTCTGTGCTGCGGCCTGGCTCTGGCCGGCTCTGATATGAGTGAGGGAGCAGCTGCAAACACAGATGCAGCTCCCTGGCTCTCCTGCTGTTCACCTCGTGCTGTGTGGCCTGACTCCTAACAGGCCACAGACCAGTAGACTCCTAACTGGTGCACAGACTAGGGATGGGGACCACAGTTTTAGAACGCAGAACAAAGACAAACAGCTGGAGGTGGGCTCTGGGTTGTCCTCCTGACATGGCTTATGTAAGTGTATTAATTCCACGGCCAAAAGCTCAATAGCAAAAGTGGCAATATTGTAACATTTGAAGTTTAAGCTGAACTGTATTAATACTCATTCAGTGCTATTGTTTTCTGTTAGGTTCTAACAGGTATTTGTTTTTGGTGCATACATCAGAACAACGTTGAAATATCCTCGGATTTATTATTTACTGTGCATTTCAATTAGCTTTAGTGAAACACCCATTCGTCTAGAGAGGCTGCTGTAACTGCAGAATTTATCTCTATGCATTGAATTTCCACCCCATTGAATTTTTAGAGGATCTGCGTTCACAATACTCTATTGAAGATGCAGGGATTCGTGACCAGTAGTGGTTTGTGTGTTTTCTTGTGTGCAGCTTATGAATTGTCACTATGGTAGCTACTGTGTTAGCTATCATGTGCAGTTATTAGAAGAATACAGCAAAAACAACCCTTAAAATGTTATAGTGGATTCCACAATATACAATATGCAGCATACAATAAACGAAAATGAACAAAATAGTATGAATTCTTTCATAAAATCCTCTTAAAGTTCATTTTTTAAAATACAGGATAAAAAGGTACTCCGCACTAAGAAAAACAACTTTTTCTTCATAAATCAAGCTGAACTTCAAACCCTTGGTGCATTTTGGACCCAGCGTTCTGTGGTCACAGCCCTGCCTGCACAGCGTGGGGACACCACAGTTTCCTACCCTCAGGAGAGCAGCAGGTCACATGTGCCAGGCAGATATCGCTGAGGTCGCAGGGCCAAAGGTGCCGCACACTTGCACAAATCCACAGCCTGAATGAGTCGACCTCCCGCACACAGCAGAGCTTTCTGACTTGAACACTGACCCCAAATTTGACATCATCTTAACAGCTTGCAGGAGCAATGAGGCTGTTCCTGCTGGCTGAACCCACAGCCTGCAGGGTGCATCCTCTGCTTCCTAGCTGTTCATAAGGAAGTGCAGAGGGCAGCACTGCCACCAGCACTGCCGGTGGCCGGGGGCAGCCGCACCAGGTGAGAACCAGAACACCATTTCCTTTACTGTATTTATGATGCGGTCGAAAGTTGCCAGAGAAGGCTCCAACGTGGCTCCGTGGCCATGCAGCATGTCTGCGATGGTGCACTGGTGGCTTAGAGATCCAGAGCCCTGTGCTGGAGATCTGGTGACTAGGTGCATTTCTAATCCAAGGACAATGAAGGCAGCTGGTTCTACTCTCTCTTTGTGCACAAGGTGGAACCCTGGAAAGATGCCCACTCCACCCCGCTATCCAGCCAGGAGACCAGCAAAGTGTACAAGGACCAGTTCCACAAGGTGAAGCCTGAGTTTCTGGACGCCCACAACAGCCCGATGGGGGCTGTGCTGCCTGAGCTGCACCTGGATGAGGATTATCCTGCTCACTTGTGGGCAGCTGGAACACGTGGGAGGGGAGCCAGACCGGGCAGTGCACCTGTGGGATTCTCGGGAGGACACACGATCAAGCTCAAAACAACCAGGAGTACGTGGAGCTCTGAAAGGTGTGGAGCCAGATGCTGCGATCCAGGAGAAACCAGCTGTTCCTTGAGTTCAGCTTGTGGAATGAGCCAGAGCCCAGAGCAGTTCCCATTTATAAACTGAGGACCTGCAAGCTCAAGCCAGGAACTATGATCCAGTGGGGGAACAACTGGGCTGGGGCCATCAAGTACCAGCGGGAGAACCAGGAGGCAGTGGGCAGCTTCTCCTCACAGATAGGAGAGCTCTACATGGTGTACCATCTCTGTGCCTATAAAGATCTGCAGTCTTGGAAAATACTCAAAATGCTGCCTGAAGGAAGAGAGGCTGGGATGAAAAGTCTACTGGATAGAACCCTTGTTAGGACACATGGCGTCTGGGATCAAGATGCCCTTGAAGATACGGCCTCTGCAGTGGTGCTGCTGAATCTCCCCCTTCTTCCCCTGCTCCTTTAGGGCAACCCCAGACAGGTCTTGGTCCTGATGTCTTGGTTTACTGTCGGCTCGTGGGAGGACTCAGAGGCAGTGCTCAGCTCAGATAACTCAGGGAACTGAAAGACGGAAAGGTTCTGAGGATACACCCCTCGGCCTAGACCCTTCCTGGCTGCCCCACCTGCCTCCTTCCTCCTGCTGGGAGTGGTTTCTATTATCCCTGAGTGAAGAATAGCAACTTTTAGGTTTTCTTAATCTCCTCCTGAGAGTCCTCCTCTCCAGACCACTGGTCCCCAGTTATCCACATGGAAATCCTTAATTTAGCTTAGTTCCACAAAAGGTAGCATGTCCAGGGGTTAGAGGTGGGCTGGGAAGAGAGGGGGTCAAGCTGGGCACTTGGGATTTCCATGGTCCCCACTGGGCCACACACCTGGTGGACAGTCTGAGCCAAGTCCCTCCTGCGGAGGAAAAGCCTGGAACTGCCGCAGAAACCCCTTAACTCAGCAAGGTCCAAAGGAGGCCTGGCCATTCCACCCAGAGAGGCTGGGAAGAGGAATGGGAGTCAGCAGAGATTTAGGGGCAGAGATAGACATGTAACAGGAAGCCAGAAGGTAGAGCTCAGAATTTAGAACTTTGAACCGCAGAATTTAGGATTTGGAACACAGAGTTGGGAAGATAGAACACAGGTGACAGAATACCACTTTGGGAGGG